GTCTTCCGGGCTTCCGGAAACGTGTTATGTTGACAGGCTTAAATCCAGCTGACCATGATATTCAAGAATCATAAATCTTCCTTGTTACCTCCGGTGGTTCTTCCTGTGTGCATGGCTTTTGCTGGAATAAACGGAATACAGCAATGGCAAATTGATCCATATTTTCGATAAAATTCGTTTATGACTATTTATTATAAATGCCTTTGCTAAAGGCCCGAAACAGCGCACTAACAATACCCAAATGCGTCCAACTCATCCAAACGAAAGGCGAACATTAGGATGCCATGCGCGAAACTCCAGGAGCGACGCTGTTCTGTCTAATTATCTTACAGAGGTTTATGTGATGCGACTTTTGTGCTTTTCAAGTGCCTTTACAGCGCAATTGCGAAACGGAATGATAACTGTCGGTTTCGGCATGCATTCGCTACGAGGTAGAGTAACTATAGCCCAGATAGAATTTTATAAATGGAGACATAACGCGCAGGAAAGTAAGAAAATGGAAAAAATTTGGTAGGGACTTAGAAACCGCGATATTTTAGCACAAAGAGAGTCAGGTGCTGTCTAAATGCGCCCTGGAATGTACAGTATGGTAGCAGTAATGCAGATGACGCGATGTTGAACATGATGAGTGTGCGCCACCTAAGCTTAAGCCGAAAGTGCACTCCTGTTTGACCAACAAAAGCTACTATAGTGGTGTTTTCTCTCTGCACTTCCGGGTAGGGTAACTAACCCCTTAGGAATTGGCTACTCTTGGCTGTACTTCCCTGCCGGTCAAAAATGAATCTGCTCTCCGCGTAAACTTAATCGGCGTACACTCATCGTGGCCGACAGGATAGTGTGAACAACGGGAACTTAAATTTTCACATTGTTGTACCTGCATTCTATACCGTACTTTACGGGACAGATTTCGAGAAGACGCTAACTTTCTGAAACTTTAAGAAAGCACCTCCGTCGTCCGCTGTTGTCAGAAAAAGTAACCTTCATTGAAAAAAATTAGACTTTACGAAGCTCTCAGAGTGGCTATAACGCCGTCGTTGTTAGAGAGAGAGAGAGACGCCGCATACATTTGACGCTGAAAGCCTTGTGAAAGATTATCTTATCGAATGTGGATTACTTCGTACACTACTTGTTTTTCCATAAAAGCTGAAGAAAACACAACTGATTGCGCGTTGTGTTTTAGGATGACAAGAAGCTTGGGTCTTATCAAAATGCGCCCGGGATGTACAGTATGTTAACTGAATGCAGGTGAGCCAACGGGAAAATTTAATTTCCTCTTGGTCACGACGAGTGTACCCCACCCAAGCTTGAGCCCAAAATTGAACATCTTTTTTACGAATAAAAGCTAACTTTGATTAACTAGTTACCGCACACAAAAGTAGGTGAGAAAACAGTCTTGTGATGAATCCTGTTGGTCACAGCCTCCAGTCACTCAAACAGGAGTTCATTCCGGCTTAAGCTTAGGTGGCGCATACCTGTCGTGACCAACAGTAAGTTATATTTTCTCGTTGTTTCACCAGAATTCCAGAGCGCGTTTCGACGGGTCCCAAAAGTTTTATTTTTTCTTTCCGAGGCGCTGAGAGCTTTCTAATTCTATAAAGCGCGGAATTATTCAGGACACGACGAAAAGCAAAACTTCTGCTAGTAACCAGTTCGCATGTTTAAAGTGTTTCAGAGGGTATATCGATGTAGGAATAATTGCTCAGCATATCTATAAACACTATGCTCTGATAAGCGCCATATGAAAAGGCAATGTAACTCTGAAAAATGATTTGATTGTCGACGCAAGAGCAATGCGCACAAACTACAGACGAAATAATTTGTGTGGATTTTACTTTTAAGCATTTTGATTATTCAGTTAGCTTCAGTGGCTAATATGGGAAAAGTTACAGTTTGGTCCGCGCTTTGGTAGACTGAGAAGTCAGTTGGATTACTTACGGCATTTGAGACGGTCGCATGAAAAAGGGCTGTGCACCACAATAGCTTTACGAAAGCTAACAATGCTTCCATTGCTTGTGAAAAGGCTTGCTCAGCTTGCGTCTTTATATAAAAAATGAAAAGTCGTAGCAGCAGAGTGGAGCGCGTACAAAACCTGTTGGAAGTGTCCTCGTCGTGAGAATTATTATTTTTCCAGCTCACATTTTCTGCAAGTGAATTACAGAAGAGTAAAGCGCGAGCTGACAGCCGATAGAAAAATAAACGCTGTTCTTAAGCTTAAAAGCAAGCAAATTGATTAATTTTTATCTGACGTAATATAACGTGATGAATAATGTAAATGAGACTGAAATGAAACTGCGAAAATAGTGGTTACGGCCCTGCCTGCGTTCACAGTGAGTGCCACAATATATTGAACCAAGTTGCCAGTAAGCAGCTGATAAAACTAATTTGCCTAAGTGGTGTCACCGATATCCTTAACCCAACCCAGTCAGATAACTACAGAACACTATGAGGAAGAGAAGTTCAGCTGACTTGTGCCACTAATGGCCAACATAATATTCGTTACTTTATTTTATAAATAAGAACTCTGACTGCTTGAACTGTAATATCCGCAGAGGGGATATTTGCAATGACGAATTTATTCGGATATTTCACAGCTGCTCTAGAAGAAGCAGGGAACGGAAAAGATGGCAGTATATTAGACTTCAGTCTTATTACAGAAACGTGTAGTCATTTTCTAACGGGCGCCAGATGGTTCTATTCGCTCAGAAAGTTGAGCTGATGCTTCATTTATCATTTTTCCATATATTCTGGACTGATGAAATGTATGACGCTTTCTAACGGGCTATACACCTTTTCATATTCAAGCGCTTTAGTCGCGTTGCACCCGTTTATTTGCAAAAATGTTTCCGAGCTTTCGGGATACCACTGATCCATCCTTCAGCGTTTTTATAATAACCACAAATGCGGCACCGTTCGGCGTGCGAACGAATATACAGAGAAGCAAAACAAATAAATGATATCACGTGAACTGAAATAAGAGAAATTATAAAAACGAAAGGTAAAAATAAATAAAATAAAATGAAAATGGAATGGAATAAAGTACATGAAAGTAAAATTAAAAAAATAAAGATGAGAGTGAGATAAAGAAGCAGATCTTTAAACCGCTGTCAGCAGGCAAGTGGAACAATTTTTATTTTTAGCGTTTTACATTATACCTAGTTGAAGAGCCTGACGAAGCTTGTCACACAAACTTCCCTCGAACGTACAGCTGTTGAACTTTTGGGAAGCCCAAGGCTATTTGAATATGCATACTGAACGAATGCAAAAGAGTGGACCGCCTGGGTATCGATCCCAGTACCTCTCGCATGCTAAGCGAGCGCTCTACCATTTGAGCTAGTGGCCCTACTGTTATCTCTGTAATTTATTAGAAGTAGGAAGAGCTTCGAGCAATTAAACCCTGATCCTCATCATCAAGACCCACCGTAAGCATACCTTCGCAATCGCAAGACTTGGAAGAAGAGCAACCAAAACGAACTGTCCGCAACGAAAAGTAAGAAGCTTTCAGAACTGACTACTTCTGGAGTCAGAGTGGACATGAGCCTGAACTATACCAGAAACGGCTGCTGCCGCTGAATATTACTAATATATGAGCAGGCGCACATCCTGAAGTCATCGGCCTTAAGTTGTGGACGTAAAAGTTAAACATAAAACAGTTGGACAAACGAAAGTGGCGCACACCTCGTTCACCTCAACAAATTAGTTCCTCGCGGAAGATCTGTTCGAATTAGCGAAGTAATTGATTTAGTCACGAAACCACGTACAGTCAAACCTCCGTTATCAGAACCCTCTATTATCCGAACCGCCGCGGAGAACAATAGACTGACCGTACGCCCTAAGTATGCTTAGGCTACCTCATCGCCGCCCGCTGTTATAACTTGTCATCGTTTCTTCCTGTCGTTTTTGTTTGGATGTGATGCCCGCTCTACTGAATTTGAAATGCTATTCTCGTTCTGAGACCGAAGTCTGCAGACCGATGGAGTCCTGGTTTGGAACGTTCACCGTAGCGGGTTAGCACTTGACCATTCTTAATTTGAGGTGAGCGTATAGTACGGTGTT